TCTCCCAAGACTAGAGGAACACCAACTTCAGCACAGCAACTCGAGGAATGATCCGTGTACCACAAATCGTCTCGAGATGAGAGCTGAATCCCTGGCTTAGGCTCAAGACGTATGCCAACTTTCCAGAAGCACCTCAAGAGGAGGCTTCTCTCAGCAATAGGTATGTTGGAGGGACCCCCAGTTTGCTGCCTCAAGTGGAATATACAGCGAGAAGCCCTAACTTGAAAGGAGGCCGGATTTCCTTGCAGTGGCTTGAATACAGGCTCGTCTTTCATCTCACAGAATGAAGGGACGTCTGAATCCCCTGTGGAGACCTTAGAGAAAGCTATAGGTCCCTGGCTCATTTTGACGGAATGCCTCACATCACTTTGTCACCTAGAGAGGCACGCGGAGTTCACTGCTTCAAAAGGTGACGATGCCTGACTCCTCTAAAATATTGATAGGAATCCCAAAATCCCTGTGGCTATTGGAAAGGTTCCTTGGGTGCCCTGTCTCACCTCGAGAAGCGTCCCTTTTGCCCTGCCAAGCCTCGAAGAGATTCCTGAGCTGTCCCTCGTTACTGGACATGAGTCCTGACGCCACTGAATAAACACGTGTTTTGAAGGGCCATCCCCGCCGTAACCCGAGTACATACCCCAGGTCCCAGCCGCAAGTCGAGAAAAACCATGAGACTTTCCCCTAGAGGCGAGATGAGGCCCGATTCTCCTGCTGTGCATGCAGAGCAATTCCGTGCTCCCCATCAAACAAGTCAGAAGCTTCGACTTGCTTAATGGATCTCGAGACAGTCACCAAGAACACTGTCACATGTCTAGACGGATCCTGATGTCACCCCATCAACGCAAGGCAGCACCATGTGCCCCAAATCAACTCGAGATAATGCCCGATTCCCCTGCATTGACTCCAGAGCCATCCCCCGTTCCACATTAAACACGACCAGTGGCTTGACTTCCTTCAGGCAACTCCAGAGATGCCCTGAGAACACTGTCCCAAGTCTAGAGGAACACCATCTTCAGCACAGCAACTCGAGGAATGCTCCGTGTACCCAAAATCGTCTCGAGATGAGAGCTGATTCCCTGGCTTAGGCTCAAGACGTATGCCAACTTTCCAGAAGCACCTGAAGGGGAGCCTTCTCTCAGCAATAGGAATGTTGGAGGGACCCCCAGTTTGCTGCCTCAAGTGGAATATACAGCGAGAAGACCTAACTTCAAAGGAGGCCGGATTTCCTTGCTATGACTTGAATACAGGCTCGTCTTTCATCTCACAACCGGAAGGAATGTCTGAATCCCCTGTGGAGACCTTAGAGAAAGCCCTAGGTCCCTGCCTCATTTTGACGGAATGCCTCACATACCGTTGACACCTCGAGAGGCACACGGAGTTCACTGCTTCAAAATGTGACGATGCCTGACTCCTCCTGAACATTGATAGGAATCCCAAAATCACTGTGGCTACAGGACAGGGATCTTGGGTGCCCTGCCTCACCTCGAGAAGCATCCCTTTTGCCCTGCCAAGCCTCGAAGAGATTCCTGAGGTGTCTCTCGTTACTAGACAGGAGTCCTGACGTCACTGAATAAACACGTGTTTTGAAGGGCCATCCCCGCCATAACTCGAGAACATACCCCAGTTCCCGCCGCAACTCGAGTAAAACCATGAGACTTCCCCTAGATGCGAGATGAGGCCTGATTCCCTGCAGTCCATGCAGAGCATTCCCGTGATCCCCATCAAGCAAGTCAGGAGCTTCGACTTGCTTAATTCAACTCGAGAAAGTCCCCAGGAACACTCTCACAAGTCTAGACAGACCCTGAGGTCACCCCAGCAATGCAAAGCAGCTGCAAGTACCCCACATCAACTCGAGATGAGGCCCGATTCCCATGCATTGACTCCAGAGCCATCCCCAGTTCCCCATTAAACAAGACCAGTGGCTTGCCTTCCTTCAGGCAACTCCAGAGATGCCCCGAGAACACTGTGCCAAGACTGGAGGAACACCAACTTCAGCACAGCAACTCGAGTAATGCTCCGTGTACCACAAATCGTCTCGAGATGAGAGCTGAATCCCTGGCTTAGGCTCAAGACGTATGCCAACTTTCCAGAAGCACCTCAAGAGGAGGCTTCTCTCAGCAATAGGTATGTTGGAGGGACCCCGAGTTTGCTGCCTCAAGTGGAATATACAGCGAGAAGCCCTAACTTGAAAGGAGGCCGGATTTCCTTGCAGTGGCTTGAATACAGGCTCGTCTTTCATCTCACAGAATGAAGGGATGTCTGAATCCCCTGTGGAGACCTTAGAGAAAGCCCTAGGTCCCTGCCTCATTTTGACGGAATGCCTCACATCCCGTTGACAACTCGAGAGGCACACGGAGTTCACTGCTTCAAAATATGACGATGCTTGACTCCTCCTGAACATTGATAGGAATCCCAAAATCACTGTAGCTACAGGACAGGGTTCTTGGGTGCCCTGCCTCACCTCGAGAAGCATCCCTTTTGCCCTGCCAAGGCTTGAAGAGATTCCTGAGGTGTCTCTCGTTACTAGACAGGAGTCCTGACGTCACTGAATAAACACGTGTTTTGAAGGGCCATCCCCGCCATAACTCGAGAACATACCCCAGTTCCCGCCGCAACTCGAGTAAAACCATGAGACTTCCCCTAGATGCGAGATGAGGCCTGATTCCCTGCAGTCCATGCAGAGCATTCCCGTGATCCCCATCAAGCAAGTCAGGAGCTTCGACTTGCTTAATGGATCTCGAGACAGTCCCCAAGAACACTGTTACATGTCTAGACGGATCCTGAGGTCACCCCATCAACGCAAAGTAGCACCATGTGCCCCAAATCAACTCGAGATAATGCCCGATTCCCCTGCATCGACTCCAGAGCCATCCCCCGTTCCACATTAAACACGACCAGTGGCTTGACTTCCTTCAGGCAACTCCAGAGATGCCCTGAGAACACTGTCCCAAGTCTAGAGGAACACCATCTTCAGCACAGCAACTCGAGGAATGCTCCGTGTACCCCAAATCGTCTCGAGATGAGAGCTGATTCCCTGGCTTAGGCTCAAGACGTATGCCAACTTTCCAGAAGCACCTCAAGGGGAGCCTTCTCTCAGCAATAGGAATGTTGGAGGGACCCCCAGTTTGCTGCCTCAAGTGGAATATACAGCGAGAAGCCCTAACTTCAAAGGAGGCCGGATTTCCTTGCTGTGTCTTGAATACAGGCTCGTCTTTCATCTCACAACCGGAAGGAATGTCTGAATCCCCTGTGGAGACCTTAGAGAAAGCCCTAGGTCCCTGCCTCATTTTGACGGAATGCCTCACATACCGTTGACACTTCGAGAGGCACACGGAGTTCACTGCTTCAAAATGTGACGATGCCTGACTCCTCCTGAACATTGATAGGAATCCCAAAATCACTGTGGCTACAGGACAGGGTTCTTGGTTGCCCTGCCTCACCTCGAGAAGCATCCCTTTTGCCCTGCCAAGCCTCGAAGAGATTCCTGAGGTGTCTCTCGTTACTAGACAGGAGTCCTGACGTCACTGAATAAACACGTGTTTTGAAGGGCCATCCCCGCCATAACTCGAGAACATACCCCAGTTCCCGCGGCAACTCGAGAAAAACCATGAGACTTCCCCTAGATGCGAGATGAGGCCTGATTCCCTGCAGTCCATGCAGAGCATTCCCGTGATCCCAATCAAGCAAGTCAGCAGCTTCGAATTGCTTAATGGATCTCGAGAGAGTCCCCAGGAACACTGTCACAAGTCTAGACAGACCCTGACATCACCCCAGCAACGCAAAGCAGCTCCAAGTACCCCACATCAACTCGCGTTGAGGCCCGATTCCCATGCATTGACTCCAGAGCCATCCCCCGTACCCCATTAAGCACCACCAGTGGCTTGACTTCCTTCAGGCAACTCGAGAGATGCCCCGAGAACACTGTCCCAAGTCTAGAGGAATACGAACTTCAGCACAGCAACTCGAGGAATGTTCCGTGTAGCCCAAATCGTTTCGAGGTGAGAGCTGATTCCATGGCTTAGGCTCAAGACGTATGCCAACTTTCCAGAAGCACCTCAAGATGAGGCTTCTCTCAGCAATAGGTATTTGGGAGGGACCCCGAGTTTGCTGCCTCAAGTGGAATATACAGCCAGAAGCCCTAACTTGAAAGGAGGCCGGATTTCCTTGCAGTGGCTTGAATACAGGCTCGTCTTTCATCTCACAGCATGAAGGGATGTCTGAATCCCCTGTGGAGACCTTAGAGAAAGCTCTAGGTCCCTGCATCATTTTGACGGAATGCCTCACATCCAGTTGACACTTCGAGAGGCACGCGGAGTTCACTGCTTCAAAAGGTGATGATGCCTGACTCGTCTTGAATATTGATAGGAATCCCAAAATCACTGTGGCTACTGGAAAGGGACATTGGTTGCCCTGCCTCACCTCGAGAAGCATACCTTTTGACCTGCCAAGCCTCGAAGAGATTCCTGAGGTGTCCCTCGTTACTAGACAGGAGTCCTGACGGCACTGAATAAACACGGGTTTTGAGGGGCCATCCCCGCCGTAACTCGAGAAGATACCCCAAGTCCCCCGCGCAACTTGAGAGAAACCGTGAGGCTTCCCCCTAGATGCGAGATGAGTCCTGATTCCCTGCAGTGCATGCAGAGTATTCCCGTGATCCCCATCAAACAAGTCAGGAGCTTCGACTTGCTTAATGGATCTCGAGACAGTCCCCAAGAACACTGTCACAAGTCTAGACGGACCCTGAGGTAACCCCAGCAACGCAAAGCAGCTCCATGTGCCCCAAATCAAACCGAGATGTGGCCCGATTCCCCTGCATTGACTCCAGAGCCATCCCCAGTTCCCCATTAAACAAGACAACTGGCTAGACTTCCTACAGGCAACTCCAGAGATGCCCTGAGAACACTGTCCCAAGTCTAGAGGAACACCATCTTCAGCACAGCAACTCGAGGAATGCTCCGTGTACCCCAAATCGTCTCGAGATGAGAGCTGATTCCCTGGCTTAGGCTCAAGACGGATGCCAACTTTCCAAAAGCACCTCAAGGGGAGCTTTCTATCAGCAATAGGTATGTTGGAGGGACCCCCAGTTTGCTGCCTCAAGTGGAATATACAGCGAGAAGCCCTAACTTGAATGGAGGCCGGATTTCCTTGCAGTGTCTTGTATATAGGCTCGTCTTTCATCTCACAACAGGAAGGGATGTCTGAATCCCCTGTGAAGACCTTAGAGAAAGCCCTAGGTCCCTGCCTCAATTTGACGGAATGCCTCACATCCCGTTGACACCTCGAGAGGCACGCGGAGTTCACTGCTTCAAATGTGACGATGCCTGACCCCTCCTGATCATTGATAGGAATCCCAAAATCACTGTGGCTACAGGAAAGGATTCTTGTGTGCCCTGCCTCACCTCGAGAAGCATCCCTTTGCCCTGCCAAGGCTCGAAGAGATTCCTGAGGTGTCCCTCATTACTAGACAGGAGTCATGACGGCATTGAATAAACACGGGTTTTGAGGGGCCATCCCCGCCGTAACTCGAGAAGATACCCCAGGTCCCCCGCGCAACTTGAGAGAAACCGTGAGACTTCCCCCTAGATGCGAGATGAGTCCTGATTCCCTGCAGTGCATGCAAAGTATTCCCGTGATCCCCATCAAACAAGTCAGGAGCTTTGACTTGCTTAATGGATCTCGAGACAGTCCCCAAGAACTCTGTCACAAGTCTAGACGGACCCTGAGGTCACCCCAGCAACGCAAAGCAGCTCCATGTGCCCCAAATCAACCCGAGATGTGGCCCGATTCCCCTGCATTGACTCCAGAGCCATCCCCAGTTCCCCATTAAACAAGACAACTGGCTAGACTTCCTTCAGGCAACTCCAGAGATGCCCCGCAAACACTCTCCCAAGACTAGAGGAACACCAACTTCAGCACAGCAACTCAAGGAATGCTCCGTGTACCACAAATTGTCTCGAGATGAGAGCTGAATCCCTGGCTTAGGCTCAAGACGTATGCCAACTTTCCAGTAGCACCTCAAGAGGAGGCTTCTCTCAGCAATAGGTATGTTGGAGGGACCCCGAGTTTGCTGCCTCAAGTGGAATATACAGGGAGAAGCCCTAACTTGAAAGGAGGTCAGATTTCCTTGCAATGGCTTGAATACAGGCTCGTCTTTCATCTCACAGAATGAAGGGATGACTGAATCTCCTGTGGAGACCTTAGAGAAAGCTATAGGTCCCTGCCTCATTTTGACGGAATGCCTCACATCCCGTTGTCACCTAGAGAGGCACGCGGAGTTCACTGCTTCAAAAGGTGACGATGCCTGACTCCTCTAAAATATTGATAGGAATCCCAAAATCCCTGTGGCTATTGGAAAGGTTCCTTGGGTGCCCTGCCTCACCTCGAGAAGCGTCCCTTGTGCCCTGCCAAGCCTCGAAGAGATTCCTGAGCTGTCCCTCGTTACTGGACAGGAGTCCTGACGTCACTGAATAAACACGAGTTTTGAAGGGCCATCCGCGCCGTAACCCGAGTACATACCCCAGGTCCCCGCCGCAAGTCGAGAAATACCATGAGATTTTCCCCTAGAGGCCAGATGAGGCCCGATTCTCCTGCAGTGCATGCAGAGCAATTCCGTGATCCCCATCACACAAGTCAGAAGCTTCGACTTGCTTAATGGATCTCGAGACAGTCACCAGGGAACACTGTCACATGTCTAGACGGATCCTGAGGTCACCCCATCAACGCAAAGCAGCACCATGTGCCCCAAATCAACTCGAGATAATGCCCGATTCCCCTGCATTGACTCCAGAGCCATCCCCCGTTCCACATTAAACACGACCAGTGGCTTGACTTCCTTCAGGCAACTCCAGAGATGCCCTGAGAACACTGTCCCAAGTCTAGAGGAACACCATCTTCAGCACAGCAACTCGAGGAATGCTCCGTGTACCCCAAATCGTCTCGAGATGTGAGCTGATTCCCTGGCTTAGGCTCAAGACGTATGCCAACTTTCCAGAAGCACCTCAATGGGAGACTTCTCTCAGCAATAGGAATGTTGGAGGGACCCCCAGTTTGCTGCCTCAAGTGGAATATACAGCAAGAAGCGCTAACTTCAAAGGAGGCCGGATTTCCTTGCTGTGTCTTGAATACAGGCTCGTCTTTCATCTCACAACCGGAAGGAATGTCTGAGTCCCCTGTGGAGACCTTAGAGAAAGCCCTAGGTCCCTGCCTCATATTGACGGAATGCCTCACATACCGTTGACACTTCGAGAGGCACACGGAGTTCACTGCTTCAAAAGGTGACGATGCCTGACTCCTCCTGAACATTGATAGGAATCCCAAAATCACTGTGGCTACAGGACAGGGTTCTTGGGTGCCCTGCCTCACCTCGAGAAGCATCCCTTTTGCCCTGCCAAGCCTCGAAGAGATTCCTGAGATGTCTCTCGTTACTAGACAGGAGTCCTGACGTCACTGAATAAACACGTGTTTTGAAGGGCCATCCCCGCCATAACTCGAGAACATACCCCAGTTCCCGCCGCAACTCGAGTAAAACCATGAGACTTCCCCTAGATGCGAGATGAGGCCTGATTCCCTGCAGTCCATGCAGAGCATTCCCGTGATCCCCATCAAGCAAGTCAGGAGCTTCGACTTGCTTAATTCAACTCGAGAAAGTCCCCAGGAACACTGTCACAAGTCTAGACAGACCCTGAGGTCACCCCAGCAATGCAAAGCAGCTGCAAGTACCCCACATCAACTCGAGATGAGGCCCGATTCCCATGCATTGACTCCTGAGCCATCCCCCGTAACCCATTAAACACCACCAGTGGCTTGACTTCCTTCAGGGAACTCCAGAAATGCCCCGAGAACACTGTCCCAAGACTAGAGGAACACCAACTTCAGCACAGCAACTCGAGTAATGCTCCGTGTACCACAAATCGTCTCGAGATGAGAGCTGAATCCCTGGCTTAGGCTCAAGACGTATGCCAACTTTCCAGAAGCACCTCAAGAGGAGGCTTCTCTCAGCAATAGGTATGTTGGAGGGACCCCGAGTTTGCTGCCTCAAGTGGAATATACAGCGAGAAGCCCTAACTTGAAAGGAGGCCGGATTTCCTTGCAGTGGCTTGAATACAGGCTCGTCTTTCATCTCACAGAATGAAGGGATGTCTGAATCCCCTGTGGAGACCTTAGAGAAAGCTCTAGGTCCCTGCCTCATTTTGACGGAATGCCTCACATCCCGTTGTCACCTCGAGAGGCACGCGGAGTTCACTGCTTCAAAAGGTGACGATGCCTGACTCCTCTAAAATATTGATAGGAATCCCAAAATCCCTGTGGCTATTGGAAAGGTTCCTTGGGTGCCCTGCCTCACCTCGAGAAGCGTCCCTTGTGCCCTGCCAAGCCTCGAAGAGATTCCTGAGCTGTCCCTCGTTACTGGACAGGAGTCCTGACGTCACTGAATAAACACGAGTTTTGAAGGGCCATCCCCGCCGTAAGCCGAGTACATACCCCAGGTCCCCGCCGCAAGTCGAGAAAAACCATGAGACTTTCCCCTAGAGGCGAGATGAGGCCCGATTCTCCTGCAGTGCATGCAGAGCAATTCCGTGATCCCCATCAAACAAGTCAGAAGCTTCGACTTGCTTAATGGATCTCGAGACAGTCCCCAAGAACACTGTCACATGTCTAGATGGATCCTGAGGTCACCCCATCAACGCAAAGCAGCACCATGTGCCCCAAATCAACTCGAGATAATGCCCGATTCCCCTGCATTGACTCCAGAGCCATCCCCCGTTCCACATTAAACACGACCAGTGGCTTGACTTCCTTCAGGCAACTCCAGAGATGCCCTGAGAACACTGTCCCAAGTCTAGAGGAACACCATCTTCAGCACAGCAACTCGAGGAATGCTCCGTGTACCCCAAATCGTCACGAGATGTGAGCTGATTCCCTGGCTTAGGCTCAAGACGTATGCCAACTTTCCAGAAGCACCTCAAGGGGAGCCTTCTCTCAGCAAGAGGTATGTTGGAGGGACCCCCAGTTTGCTGCCTCAAGTGGAATATGCAGCGAGAAGCCTTAACTTGAAAGGAGGCCGGATTTCCTTGCTGTGTCTTGAATACAGGCTCGTCTTTCATCTCACAACCGGAAGGAATGTCTGAATCCCCTGTGGAGACCTTAGAGAAAGCCCTAGGTCCCTGCCTCATTTTGACGGAATGCCTCACATCCCGTTGACACCTCGAGAGTCACGCGGAGTTCACTGCTTCAAAAGCTGACGATGCCTGACTCCTCCTGAACATTGATAGGAATCCCAAAATCACTGTAGCTACAGGACAGGGTTGTTGGGTGCCCTGCCTCACCACGAGAAGCATCCCTTTTGCCCTGCCAAGCCTCGAAGAGATTCCTGAGCTGTCCCTCGTTACTGGACAGGAGTCCTGACGTCACTGAATAAACACGAGTTTTGAAGGGCCATCCCCGCCGTAACCCGAGTACATACCCCAGGTCCCCGCCGCAAGTCGAGAAAAACCATGAGACTTTCCCCTCGTGGCGAGATGAGGCCCGATTCTCCTGCAGTGCATGCAGAGCAATTCCGTGATCCCCATCAAACAAGTCAGGACCTTCGACTTGCTTAATGGATCTCGAGACAGTCCCCAAGAATACTGTCACATATCCAGACGGATGCTGAGGTCAACCCATCAACGCAAAGCAGCACCATGTGCCCCACATCAACTCGAGATAATGCCCGATTCCCCTGCATTGAATCCAGAGCCATCCCCCGTTCCACATTAAAAAGCACCAGTGGCTTGACTTCCTTCAGACAACTCCAGAGATGCCCTGAGAACACTGTCCCAAGTCTAGAGGAACACCATCTTCAGCACAGCAACGCGAGGAATGCTCCCTGTACCCCAAATCGTCTCGAGATGAGAGCTGATCCCTGGCTTAGGCTCAAGACGTATGCCAACTTTCCAGAAGCACCTCAAGGGGAGGCTTCTCTCAGCAATAGGTATGTTGGAGGGACCCCCAGTTTGCTGCCTCAAGTGGAATATGCAGCGAGAAGCCCTAACTTGAAAGGAGGCCGGGTTTCCCTGCAGTGTCTTGAATATAGGCTCGACTTTCATCTCACAACCGGAAGGAAAGTCTGAATCCCCTGTGGAGACCTTAGCGATAGCCCTAGGTCCCTGCCTCATTTTGACGGAATGCCTCACATCCCGTTGACACCTCGAGAGGCACGCGGAGTTCACTGCTTCAAAATGTGACGATGCCTGACTCCTCCTGAACATTGATAGGAATCCCAAAATTACTGTAGCTATAGGACAGGGTCCTTGGGTGCCCTGTCTCACCTCGAGAAGCAACCCTTTTGCCCTGCCAAGCCTCGAAGAGATTCCTGAGGTGTCTCTCGTTACTAGACAGGAGTCCTGACGTCACTGAATAAACACGTGTTTTGAAGGGCCATCCCCGCCATAACTCGAGAACATACCCCAGTTCCCGCCACAACTCGCGGAAAACCATGAGACTTCCCCTAGATGCGAGATGAGGCCTGATTCCCTGCAGTCCATGCAGAGCATTCCCGTGATCCCCATCAAGTAAGTCAGGAGCTTCGACTTGCTTAATTCAACTCGAGAAAGTCCCCAGGAACACTGTCACAAGTCTAGACAGACCCTGAGGTCACCCCAGCAATGCAAAGCAGCTGCAAGTACCCCACATCAACTCGAGATGAGGCCCGATTCCCATGCATTGACTCCAGAGCCATCCCCCGTAACCCATTAAACATCACCAGTGGCTTGACTTCCTTCAGGCAACTCCAGAAATGCCCCGAGAACACTGTCCCAAGACTAGAGGAACACCAACTTCAGCACAGCAACTCGAGTAATGCTCCGTGTACCACAAATCGTCTCGAGATGAGAGCTGAATCCCTGGCTTAGGCTCAAGACGTATGCCAACTTTCCAGAAGCACCTCAAGAGGAGGCTTCTCTCAGCAATAGGTATGTTGGAGGGACCCCGAGTTTGCTGCCTCAAGTCTAATATACAGCGAGAAGCCCTAACTTGAAAGGAGGCTGGATTTCCTTGCAGTGGCTTGAATACAGGCTCGTCTTTCATCTCACACAATGAAGGGATGTCTGAATCCCCTGTGGAGACCTTAGAGAAAGCTATAGGTCCCTGCCTCATTTTGACGGAATGCCTCACATCCCGTTGTCACCTAGAGAGGCACGCGGAGTTCACGGCTTCAAAAAGTGACGATGCCTGACTCCTCTAAAATATTGATAGGAATACCAAAATCCCTGTGGCTATTGGAAAGGTTCCTTGGGTGCCCTGCCTCACCTCGACAAGCGTCCCTTGTGCCCTGCCAAGCCTCGAAGAGATTCCTGAGGTGTCTCTCGTTACTAGACAGGAGTCCTGACGTCACTGAATAAACACGTGTTTTGAACGGCCATCCCCGCCATAACTCGAGAACATACCCCAGTTCCCCGCCGCAACTCGAGCAAAACCATGAGACTTCCGCTTAGAGGCGAGATGAGGCCCGATTCTCCTGCAGTGCATGCAGAGCAATTCCGTGATCCCCATCAAACAAGTCTGGGGCTTCGACTTGCTTAATGGATCTCGAGACATTCCCCAAGAACACTGTCACATGTCTAGACGGACCCTGAGCTATCCCCAGCAACGCAAAGCAGCTCCATGTGCCCCAAATCAACTTGAGATGAGGTCCGATTCCCCTGCATTGACTCCAGAGCCATCTGCCGTTCCGCATTAAACACCACCAGTGGCTTGACCTCCTTCAGACAACTCCAGAGATGCCCCGAGAACACTGTCCCAAGTCTAGAGGAACACCTACTTTAGCACAGCAACTCGAGGAATGCTTCCTGTATGCCAAATCTTCTCGAGATGAGAGCTGATTCCCTGGCTTAGGCTCAAGACCTATGCCAACTTTCCAGAAGCACCTCAAGAGGAGGCTTCTCTCAGCAATAGGTATGTGGGAGGGAACCCGAGTTTGCTGCCTCAAATGGAATAAACAGCGAGAAGCACTAACTAGAAAGGAGGACGGTTTCCTAGCAGTGTCTTGGATACAGGCTCGTCTTTCATCTCACAGCAGGAAGAGATGTCTGAATCCCCTGTGGAGACCTTAGAGAAAGCCCTAGGTCCCTGCCTCATTTTGACGGAATGCCTCACATCCCGTTGACACCTCGAGAGTCACGCGGAGTTCACTGCTTCAAAAGCTGACGATGCCTGACTCCTCTTGAATATTGATAGGAATCACAAAATACCTGTGGCTATTTGAAAGGTTCCTTGGGTGCCCTGCCTTACCTCGAGAAGCGTCCCTTGTGCCTGCCAAGCCTCGAAGAGATTCCTGAGCTGTCCCTCGTTACTGGACAGGAGTCCTGACGTCACTGAATAAACACGAGTTTTTAAGGGCCATCCCCGCCGTAAACCGAGTACATACCCCAGGTCCCCGCCGCAAGTCGAGAAAAACCATGAGACTTTCCCCTAAAGGCGAGATGAGGCCCGATTCACCTGCAGTGCATGCAGAGCAATTCCGTGATCCCCATCAAACAAGTCAGGACCTTCGACTTGCTTAATGGATCTCGAGACAGTCCCCAAGAATACTGTCACATGTCTAGACGGATCCTGAGGTCACCCCATCAACGCAAAGCAGCACCATGTGCCCCACATCAACTCGAGATAATGCCCGATTCCCCTGCATTGACTCCAGAGCCATCCCCCGTTCCCCATTAAACAAGAGCAGTGGCTTGACTTCCTTCAGACAACTCCAGAGATGCCCTGAGAACACTGTCCCAAGTCTAGAGGAACACCATCTTCAGCACAGCAACTCGAGGAATGCTCCGTGTACCCCAAATCGTCTCGAGATGAGAGCTGATTCCCTGGCTTAGGCTCAAGACGTATGCCAACTTTCCAGAAGCACCTCAAGGGGAGGCTTCTCTCAGCAATTGATATGTTTGAGGGACCCCCAGTTTGCTGCCTCAAGTGGAATATGCAGCGAGAAGTCCTAACTTGAAAGGAGGCCGGATTTCCTTGCTGTAACTTGAATACAGGCTCGTCTTTCATCTCACAACAGGAAGGAATGTCTGAATCCCCTGTGGAGAACTTAGCGAAAGCCCTAGGTCCCTGCCTCATTTTGACGGATTGCCTCACATCCCGTTGACACCTCGAGAGGCACACGGAGTTCACTGCTTCAAATGTGACGATGCCTGACCCCTCCTGATCATTGATAGGAACCCCAAAATCACTGTGGCTAGAGGAAAGGGTTCTTGTGTGCCCTGCCGCACCTCGAGAAGCATCCCTTTTGCCCTGCCAAGGCTCGAAGAGATTCCTGAGGTGTCCCTAATTACTAGACAGGAGTCATGACGTCACTGAATAAACACGTGTTTTCAAGGGCCATGCCCGCCATAACTCGAGAACATACCCCAGGTCCCGCCGCAACTAGAGAAAAACCATGAGACTTCCCCTAGATGCGAGATGAGGCCTGATTCCCTGCATTCGATGCAGTGCATTCCTGTGATCCCCATCAAGCAAGTCAGGAGCTTCGACTTGCTGAATTGAACTCGAGAAAGTCCCCAGGAACACTGTCACAAGTCTAGACAGACCCTGAGGTCACCCCAGCAATGCAAATCAGCTGCAAGTACCCCACATCAACTCGAGATGAGGACCGATTCCCATGCATTGACTCCAGAGCCATCCCCCGTAACCCATTAAACACCACCAGTGGCTTGCCTTCCTTCAGGCAACTCCAGAAATGCCATGAGAACACTGTCCCAAGACTAGAGGAACACCAACTTCAGCACAGCAACTCGAGTAATGCTCCGTGTACCACAAATCGTCTCGAGATGAGAGCTGATTCCCTGGCTTAGGCTCAAGACGTATGCCAACTTTCCAGAAGCACCTCAGGAGGAGGCTTCTCTCAGCAATAGGTATGTGGGATGGACCCCGAGTTTGCTGCCTCAAGTGGAATATACAGCGAGAAGCCCTAACTTGAAAGGAGGCCGGATTTCCTTGCAGTGTCTTGTATACAGGCTCGTCTTTCATCTCACAACAGGAAAGGATGTCTGAATCCCCTGTGAAGACCTTAGAGAAAGCCCTAGGTCCCTGCCTCATTGTGACGGAATGCCTCACATCCCGTTGACACCACGAGAGGCACGCGGAGTTCACTGCTTCAAAAGGTGACGATGCCTGACTCCTCTTGAATATTGATAGGAATCCCAAAATCCCTGTGGCTATTGGAAAGGTTCCTTGGGTGCCCTGCCTCACCTCGAGAAGCGTCCCTTGTGCCCCGGCAAGCCTCGAAGAGATTCCTGAGCTGTCCCTCGTTACTGGACAGGAGTCCTGACGTCACTGAATAAACACGTGTTTTGAAGGGCCATTGCCGCCGTAACTAGAGTAATACCCCAGGTCCCCGCCGCAACTCGAGAAAAACCATGAGACTTCCGCCTAGAAGCGAGATGAGGCCCGATTCTCCTGCAGTGCATGCAGAGCAATTCCGTGATCCCCATCAAACAAGTCAGGAGCTTCGACTTGCTTAATGGATCTCGAGACATTCCCCAAGAACACTGTCACATGTCTAGACGGACCCTGAGGTATCCCCAGTAACGCAAAGCAGCTCCATGTGCCACAAATCAACTTGAGATGAGGTCCGATTCCCCTGCATTGACTCCAGAGACATCTGCCGTTCCGCATTAAACACCACCAGTGGCTTGACCTCCTTCAGACAACTCCAGAGATGCCCCGAGAACACTGTCCCAAGTCTAGAGGAAAACCTCCTTTAGCACAGCAACTCGAGGAATGCTTCCTGTATGCCAAATCTTCTCGAGTTGAGAGCTGATTCCCTGGCTTAGGCTCAAGACGTATGCCAACTTTCCAGAAGCACCTCAAGAGGAGGCTTCTCTCAGCAATAGGTATGTGGGAGGGAACCCGAGTTTGCTGCCTCAAATGGAATATACAGCGAGAAGCACTAACTAGAATGGAGGCCGGTTTCCTAGCAGTGTCTTGAATACAGGCTCGTCTTTCATCTCACAGCAGGAAGAGATGTCTGAATCCCCTGTGGAGACCTTAGAGAAAGCCCTAGGTCCCTGCCTCATTGTGACGGAATGCCTCACATCCCGTTGACACCTCGAGAGTCACGCGGAGTTCACTGCTTCAAAAGCTGACGATGCCTGACTCCTCCTGAACATTGATAGGAATCCCAAAATCACTGTACCTACAGGACAGGGTTCTTGGGTGCCCTGCCTCACCTCGAGAAGCATCCCTTTTGCCCTGCCAAGCCTCGAAGAGATTCCTGAGCTGTCCCTCCTTACTGGACAGGAGTCCTGACGTCACTGAATAAACACGAGTTTTTAAGGGCCATCCCCGCCGTAACCCGAGTACATACCCCAGGGCCCCGCCGCAAGTCGAGAAAAACCATGAGACTTTCCCCTAGTGGCGAGATGAGGCCCGATTCTCCTGCAGTGCATGCAGAGCAATTCCATGATCCCCATCAAACAAGTCAGGACCTTCGACTTGCTTAATGGATCTAGAGACAGTCCCCAAGAATACTATCACATGTCTAGATGGATCGTGAGGTCACCCCATCAACGCAAAGCAGCACCATGTGCCCCACATCAACTCGAGATAATGCCCGATTCCCCTGCATTGACTCCAGAGCCATCCCCCGTTCCAGATTAAACACCACCAGTGGCTTGACTTCCTTCAGACAACTCCAGAGATGCCCTGAGAACACTGTCCCAAGTCTAGAGGAACACCATCTTCAGCACAGCAACTCAAGGAATGCTCCGTGTACCCCAAATCGTCTCGAGATGAGAGCTGATTCCCTGGCTTATGCTCAAGACGTATGCCAACTTTCCAGAAGCACCTCAAGGGGAGGCTTCTCTCAGCAATAGATATGTTGGAGGGACCCCCATTTTGCTGCCTCAAGTGGAATATGCAACGAGAAGCCCTAACTTGAAAGGAGGCCGGGTTTCCTTGCAGTGTCTTGAATACAGGCTTGTCTTTCATCTCACAACCGGAAGGATTGTCTGAATCCCCTGTGGAGACCTTAGCGAAAGCCCTAGGTCCCTGCCTCATTTTGACGGATTGCCTCACATCCCGTTGACACCTCGGGAGGCACACGGATTTCACTGCTTCAAATGTGACGATGCCTGACCCCTCCTGATCATTGATAGGAATCCCAAAATCACTGTGGCTACTGGAAAGGGTTCTTGTGTGCCCTGCCTCACCTCGAGAAGCATCCCTTTTGCCCTGCCAAGGCTCGAAGAGATTCCTGAGGTGTCCCTCATTACTAGACAGGAGTCATGACGTCACTGACTAAACACGTGTTTTCAAGGGCCATGCCCGCCATAACTCGAGAACTTACCCCAGGTCCCGCCGCAACTCGAGAAAAACCATGAGACTTCCCCTAGATGCGAGATGAGGCCTGATTCCCTGCAGTCCATGCAGAGCATTCCCGTGATCCCAATCAAGCAAGTCAGCAGCTTCGAATTGCTTAATGGATCTCGAGAGAGTCCCCAGGAACACTGCCACAAGTCTAGACAGACCCTGAGGTCACCCCAGCAATGCAAAGCAGCTGCAAGTACCCCACATCAACTCGAGATGAGGCCCGATTCCCATGCATTGACTCCAGAGCCATCCCCAGTTCCCCGTTAAACAAGACCAGTGGCTTGCCTTCCTTCAGGCAACTCCAGAGATGCCCCGAGAACACTGTGCCAAGACTAGAGGAACACCAACTTCAGCACAGCAACTCGAGTAATGCTCCGTGTACCACAAATCGTCTCGAGATGAGAGCTGAATCCCTGGCTTAGGCTCAAGACGTATGCCAACTTTCCAGAAGCACCTCAAGAGGAGGCTTCTCTCAGCAATAGGTATGTTGGAGGGACCCCGAGTTTGCTGCCTCAAGTGGAATATACAGCGAGAAGCCCTAACTTGAAAGGAGGCCGGATTTCCTTGCAGTGGCTGAATACAGGCTCGTCTTTCATCTCACAGCAGGAAGGGATGTCTGAATCCCCTGTGGAGACCTTAGAGAAAGCCCTAGGTCCCTGCCTCATTTTGACGGAATGCCTCACATCCCGTTGTCACCTCGAGAGGCACGCGGAGTTCACTGCTTCAAAAGGTGACGATGCCTGACTCCTCTAAAATATTGATAGGAATCCCAAAATCCCTGTGGCTATTGGAAAGGTTCCTTGGGTGCCCTGCCTCACCTCGAGAAGCGTCCCTTGTGCCCTGCCAAGCCTCGAAGAGATTCCTGAGCTGTCCCTCGTTACTGGACAGGAGTCCTGACGTCACTGAATAAACACGAGTTTTGAAGGGCCATCCCCTCCGTAAGCCGAGTACATACGCCAGGTCCCCGCCGCAGTCGAGAAAAACCATGAGACTTTCCCCTAGAGGCGAGATGAGGCCCGATTCTCCTGCAGTGCATGCAGAGCAATTCCGTGATCCCCATCAAACAAGTCAGAAGCTTCGACTTGCTTAATGGATCTCGAGACAGTCCCCAAGAACACTGTCACATGTCTAGACGGATCCTGAGGTCACCCCATCAACGCAAAGCAGCACCATGTGCCCCAAATCAACTCGAGATAATGCCCGATTCCCCTGCATTGACTCCAGAGCAATCCCCCGTTCCACATTAAACACGACCAGTGGCTTGACTTCCTTCAGGCAACTCCAGAGATGCCCTGAGAACACTGTCCCAAGTCTAGAGGAACACCATCTTCAGCACAGCAACTCGAGGAATGCTCCGTGTACCCCAAATCATCTCGAGATGTGAGCTGATTCCCTGGCTTAGGCTCAAGACGTATGCCAACTTTCCAGAAGCACCTCAAGGGGAGCCTTCTCTCAGCAATAGGTATGTTGGAGGGACCCCCAGTTTGCTGCCTCAAGTGGAATATGCAGCGAGAAGCCCTAACTTGAAAGGAGGCCGGATTTCCTTGCTGTGTCTTGAATACAGGCTCATCTTTCATCTCAAAACCGGAAGGAATGTCTGAATCCCCTGTGGAGACCTTAGAGAAAGCCCTAGGTCCCTGCCTCATTTTGACGGAATGCCTCACATCCCGTTGACAACTCGAGAGGCACACAGAGTTCACTGCTTCAAAATATGACGATGCCTGACTCCTCCTGAACATTGATAGGATTCCAAAAATCACTGTAGCTACAGGACAGGGTTCTTGGGTGCCCTGCCTCACCTCGAGAAGCATCCCTTTTGCCCTGCCAAGCCTTGAAGAGATTCCTGAGGTGTCTCTCGTTACTAGACAGGAGTCCTGACATCACTGAATAAACACGTGTTTTGAAGGGCCATCCCCGCCATAACTCGAGAACATACCCCAGTTCCCGCCGCAACTCGAGTAAAACCATGAGACTTCCCCTAGATGCGAGATGAAGCCTGATTCCCTGCAGTCCATGCAGAGCATTCCCGTGATCCCCATCAAGCAAGTCAGGAGCTTCGACTTGCTTAATGGATCTCGCGACAGTCCCCAAGAACACTGTTACATGTCTAGACGGATCCTGAGGTCACCCCATCAACGCAAAGTAGCACCATGTGCCCCAAATCAACTCGAGATAATGCCCGATTCCCCTGCATCGACTCCAGAGCCATCCCCCGTTCCACATTAAACACGACCAGTGGCTTGACTTCCTTCAGGCAACTCCAGAGATGCCCTGAGAACACTGTCCCAAGTCTAGAGGAACACCATCTTCAGCACAGCAACTCGAGGAATGCTCCGTGTACCCGAAATCGTCTCGAGATGAGAGCTGATTCCCTGGCTTATGCTCAAGACGTATGCCAACTTTCCAGAAGCACCTCAAGGGGAGCCTTCTCTCAGCAATAGGAATGTTGGAGGGACCCCCAGTTTGCTGCCTCAAGTGGAATATACAGCGAGAAGCCCTAACTTCAAAGGAGGCCGGATTTCCTTGCTGTGTCTTGAATACAGGCTCGTCTTTCATCTCACAACCGGAAGGAATGTCTGAATCCCCTGTGGAGACCTTAGAGAAAGCCCTAGGTCCCTGCCTCATTTTGACGGAATGCCTCACATACCGTTGACACTTCGAGAGGCACACGGAGTTCACTGCCTCAAAATGTGACGATGCCTGACTCCTCCTGAACATTGATAGGAATCCCAAAATCACTGTGGCTACAGGACAGGGTTCTTGGGTGCCCTGCCTCACCTCGAGAAGCATCCCTTTTGCCCTGCCAAGGCTCGAAGAGATTCCTGAGGTGTCTCTCGTTACTAGACAGGAGTCCTGACGTCACTGAATAAACACGTGTTTTGAAGGGCCATCCCCGCCATAACTCGAGAACATACTCCAGTTCCCGCCGCAACTCGAGAAAAACCATGAGACTTCCCCTAGATTCGAGATGAGGCCTGATTCCCTGCAGTCCATGCAGAGCATTCCCGTGATCCCAATCAAGCAAGTCAGCAGCTTCGAATTGCTTAATGGATCTCGAGAGAGTCCCCAGGAACACTGTCACAAGTCTAGACAGACCCTGACATCACCCCAGCAACGCAAAGCAGCTCCAAGTACCCCACATCAACTCGCGTTGAGGCCCGATTCCCATGCATTGACTCCAGAGCCATCCCCCGTACCCCATTAAGCACCACCAGTGGCTTGACTTCCTTCAGGCAACTCGAGAGATGCCCCGAGAACACTGTCCCAAGTCTAGAGGAATACGAACTTCAGCACAGCAACTCGTGGAATGCTCCGTGTACCCCAAATCGTTTCGAGGTGAGAGCTGATTCCATGGCTTAGGCTCAAGACGTATGCCAACTTTCCAGAAGCACCTCAAGAGGAGGCTTCTCTCAGCAATAGGTATTTGGGAGGGACCCCGAGTGTGCTGCCTCAAGTGGAATATACAGCGAGAAGCCCTAACTTGAAAGGAGGCCGGATTTCCTTGCAGTGGCTTGGATACAGGCTCGTCTTTCATCTCACAGCATGAAGGGATGTCTGAATCCCCTGTGGAGACCTTAGAGAAAGCCCTAGGTCCCTGCCTCAATTTGACGGAATGCCTCACATCCCGTTGACACCTCGAGAGGCACGCGGAGTTCACTGCTTCAAATGTGACGATGCCTGACCCCTCCTGATCATTGATAGGAATCCCAAAATCACTGTGGCTACAGGAAAGGATTCTTGTGTGCCCTGCCTCACCTCGAGAAGCATCCCTTTTGCCCTGCCAAGGCTCGAAGAGATTCCTGAGCTGTCCCTCATTACTAGACAGGAGTCATGACGGCACTGAATAAACACGGGTTTTGAGGGGCCATCCCCGCCGTAACTCGAGAAGATACCCCAGGTCCCCCGCGCAACTTGAGAGAAACCGTGAGACTTCCCCCTAGATGCGAGATGAGTCCTGATTCCCTGCAGTGCATGCAGAGTATTCCCGTGATCCCCATCAAACAAGTCAGGAGCTTCGACTTGCTTAATGGATCTCGAGACAGTCCCCAAGAACTCTGTCACAAGTCTAGACGGACCCTGAGGTCACCACAGCAACGCAAAGCAGCTCCATATGCCCCAAATCAACCCGAGATGTGGCCCGATTCCCCTGCATTGACTCCAGAGCCATCCCCAGTTCCCCATTAAACAAGACAACTGGCTAGACTTCCTTCAGGCAACTCCAGAGATGCCCCGCAAACACTCTCCCAAGACTAGAGGAACACCAACTTCAGCACAGCAACTCGAGGAATGCTCCGTGTACCACAAATCGTCTCGAGATGAGAGCTGAATCCGTGGCTTAGGCTCAAGACGTATGCCAACTTTCCAGAAGCACCTCAAGAGGAGGCTTCTCTCAGCAATAGGTATGTTGGAGGGACCCCGAGTTTGCTGCCTCAAGTGGAATATAGAGCGAGAAGCCCTAACTTGAAAGGAGGCCGGATTTCCTTGCAATGGCTTGAATACAGGCTCGTCTTTCATCTCACAGAATGAAGGGATGACTGAATCTCCTGTGGAGACCTTAGAGAAAGCTATAGGTCCCTGCCTCATTTTGACGGAATGCCTCACATCCCGTTGACACCTCGAGAGTCACGCGGAGTTCACTGCTTCAAAAGCTGACGATGCCTGACTCCTCCTGAACATTGATAGGAATCCCAAAATCACTGTAGCTACAGGACAGGGTTCTTGGGTGACCTGCCTCACCTCGAGAAGCATCCCTTTTGCCCTGCCAAGCCTCGAAGAGATTCCTGAGCTGTCCCTCGTTACTGGACAGGAGTCCTGACGTCACTGAATGAACACGAGTTTTGAAGGGCCATCCGCGCCGTAACCCGAGTACATACCCCAGGTCCCCGCCGCAAGTCGAGAAAAACCATGAGACTTTCCCCTAGAGGCCAGATGAGGCCCGATTCTCCTGCAGTGCATGCAGAGCAATTCCGTGATCCCCATCAAACAAGTCAGAAGCTTCGACTTGCTTAATGGATCTCGAGACAGTCACCAGGGAACACTGTCACATGTCTAGACGGATCCTGAGGTCACCCCATCAACGCAAAGCAGCACCATGTGCCCCAAATCAACTCGAGATAATGCCCGATTCCCCTGCATTGACTCCAGAGCCATCCCCCGTTCCACATTAAACACGACCAGTGGCTTGACTTCCTTCAGGCAACTCCAGAGATGCCCTGAGAACACTGTCCCAAGTCTAGAGGAACACCATCTTCAGCACAGCAACTCGAGGAATGCTCCGTGTACCCCAAATCGTCTCGAGATGAGAGCTGATTCCCTGGCTTAGGCTCAAGACGTATGCCAACTTTCCAGAAGCACCTCAAGGGGAGCCTTCTCTCAGCAATAGGAATGTTGGAGGGACCCCGAGTTTGCTGCCTCAAGTGGAATATACAGCGAGAAGCCCTAACTTCAAAGGAGGCCGGATTTCCTTGCTGTGTCTTGAATACAGGCTCGTCTTTCATCTCACAACCGGAAGGAATGTCTGAATCCCCTGTGGAGACCTTAGAGAAAGCCCTAGGTCCCTGCCTCATATTGACGGAATGCCTCACATACCGTTGACACCTCGAGAGGCACACGGAGTTCACTGCTTCAAAATGTGACGATGCCTGACTCCTCCTGAACATTGATAGGAATCCCAAAATCACTGTGGCTACAGGACAGGGTTCTTGGGTGCCCTGCCTCACCTCGAGAAGCATCCCTTTTGCCCTGCCAAGCCTCGAAGAGATTCCTGAGATGTCTCTCGTTACTAGACAGGAGTCCTGACGTCACTGAATAAACACGTGTTTTGAAGGGCCATCCCCGCCATAACTCGAGAACATACCCCAGTTCCCGCCGCAACTCGAGTAAAACCATGAGACTTCCCCTAGATGCGAGATGAGGCCTGATTCCCTGCAGTCCATGCAGAGCATTCCCGTGATCCCCATCAAGCAAGTCAGGAGCTTCGATTTGCTTAAATCAACTCGAGAAAGTCCCCAGGAACACTGTCACAAGTCTAGACAGACCCTGAGGTCACCCCAGCAATGCAAAGCAGCTGCAAGTACCCCACATCCATTCGAGATGAGGCCCGATTCCCATGCATTGACTCCAGAGCCATCCCCCGTAACCCATTAAACACCACCAGTGGCTTGACTTCCTTCAGGGAACTCCAGAAATGCCCCGAGAACACTGTCCCAAGACTAGAGGAACACCAACTTCAGCACAGCAACTCGAGTAATGCTCCGTGTACCACAAATCGTCTCGAGATGAAAGCTGAATCCCTGGCTTAGGCTCAAGACGTATGCCAACTTTCCAGAAGCACCTCAAGAGGAGGCTTCTCTCAGCAATTGGTATGTTGGAGGGACCCCGAGTTTGCTGCCTCAAGTGGAATATACAGCGAGAAGCCCTAACTTGAAAGGAGGCCGGATTTCCTTGCAGTGGCTTGAATACAGGCTCGTCTTTCATCTCACAGAATGAAGGGATGTCTGAATCCCCTTTGGAGACCTTAGAGAAAGCTATAGGTCCCTGCCTCATTTTGACGGAATGCCTCACATCCCGTTGTCACCTCGAGAGGCACGCGGAGTTCACTGCTTCAAAAGGTGACGATGCCTGACTCCTCTAAAATATTGATAGGAATCCCAAAATCCCTGTGGCTATTGGAAAGGTTCCTTGGGTGCCCTGCCTCACCTCGAGAAGCGTCCCTTGGGCCCTGCCAAGCCTCGAAGAGATTCCTGAGCTGTCCCTCGTTACTGGACAGGAGTCCTGACGTCACTGAATAAACACGAGTTTTGAAGGGCTATCCCCGCCGTAAGCCGAGTACATACCCCAGGTCCCCGTCGCAAGTCGAGAAAAACCATGAGACTTTCCCCTAGAGGCGAGATGAGGCCCGATTCTCCTGCAGTGCATGCAGAGCAATTCCGTGATCCCCATCAAACAAGTCAGAAGCTTCGACTTGCTTAATGGATCTCGAGACACTCCTCAAGAACACTGTCACATGTCTAGACGGATCCTGAGGTCACCCCATCAACGCAAAGCAGCACCATGTGCCCCACATCAACTCGAGATAATGCCCGATTCCCCTGCATTGACTCCAGAGCCATCTGCCGTTCCGCATTAAACACTACCAGTGGCTTGACCTCCTTCAGACAACTCCAGAGATGCCCCGAGAACACTGTCCCAAGTCTAGAGGAAAACCTCCTTTAGCACAGCAACTCGAGGAATGCTTCCTGTATGCCAAATCTTCTCGAGTTGAGAGCTGATTCCCTGGCTTAGGCTCAAGACGTATGCCAACTTTCCAGAAGCACCTCAAGAGGAGGCTTCTCTCAGCAATAGGTATGTGGGAGGGAACCCGAGTTTGCTGCCTCAAATGGAATATACAGCGAGAAGCACTAACTAGAAAGGAGGACGGTTTCCTAGCAGTGTCTTGAATACAGGCTCGTCTTTCATCTCACAGCAGGAAGAGATGTCTGAATCCCCTGTGGAGACCTTAGAGAAAGCCCTAGGTCCCTGCCTCATTTTGACGGAATGCCTCACATCCCGTTGACACCTCGAGAGTCACGCGGAGTTCACTGCTTCAAAAGCTGACGATGCCTGACTCCTCTTGAATATTGATAGGAATCACAAAATCCCTGTGGCTATTTGAAAGGTTCCTTGGGTGCCCTGCCTCACCTCGAGAAGCGTCCCTTGTGCCTGCCAAGCCTCGAAGAGATTCCTGAGCTGTCCCTCGTTACTGGACAGGAGTCCTGACGTCACTGAATAAACACGAGTTTTTAAGGGCCATCCCCGCCGTAACCCGAGTACATACCCCAGGTCCCCGCCGCAAGTCGAGAAAAACCATGAGACTTTCCCCTAGTGGCGAGATGAGGCCCGATTCTCCTGCAGTGCATGCAGAGCAATTCCGTGATCCCCATCAAACAAGTCAGGACCTTCGACTTGCTTAATGGATCTCTAGACAGTCCCCAAGAATACTGTCACATGTCTAGACCGATCCTGAGGTCACACCATCAACGCAAAGCAGCACCATGTGCCCCACATCAATTTGAGATAATGCCCGATTCCCCTGCATTGACTCCAGAGCCATCCCCCGTTCCCCATTAAACAAGAGCAGTGGCTTGACTTCCTTCAGACAACTCCAGAGATGCCCTGAGAACACTGTCCCAAGTCTAGAGGAACACCATCTTCATCACAGCAACTCGAGGAATGCTCCGTGTACCCCAAATCGTCTCGAGATGAGAGCTGATTCCCTGGCTTAGGCTCAAGACGTATGCCAACTTTCCAGAAGCACCTCAAGGGGAGGCTTCTCTCAGCAATAGATATGTTGGAGGGACCCCCAGTTTGCTGCCTCCAGTGGAATATGCAGCGAGAAGCCCTAACTTGAAAGGAGGCCGGATTTCCTTGCAGTGTCTTGAATACAGGCTCGTCTTTCATCTCACAACAGGAAGGAATGTCTGAATCCCCTGTGGAGACCTTAGAGAAAGCCCTAGGTCCCTGCCTCATTTTGACGGAATGCCTCACATCCCGTTGACACCTCGAGAGTCACGCGGAGTTCACTGCTTCAAATGTGACGATGCCTGACCCCTCCTGATCATTGATAGGAACCCCAAAATCACTGTGGCTACAGGAAAGGGTTCTTGTGTGCCCTGCCTCACCTCGAGAACCATCCCTTTTGCCCTGCCAAGGCTCGAAGAGAATCCTGAGGTGTCCCTAATTACTAGACAGGAGTCATGACGTCACTGAATAAACACGTGTTTTCAAGGGCCTTGCCCGCCATAACTCGAGAACATACCCCAGGTCCCGCCGCAACTAGAGAAAAACCATGAGACTTCCCCTAGATGCGAGATGAGGCCTGATTCCCTGCAGTCCATGCAGTGCATTCCTGTGATCCCCATCAAGCAAGTCAGGAGCTTCGACTTGCTGAATTGAACTCGAGAAAGTCCCCAAGAACACTGTCACAAGTCTAGACAGACCCTGAGGTCACCCCAGCAATGCAAAGCAGCTGCAAGTACCCCACATCAACTCGAGATGAGGCCCGATTCCCATGCATTGACTCCAGAGCCATCCCCCGTACCCCATTAAACACCACCGGGGGCTTGACTTCCTTCAGGCAACTCCAGAGATGCCCCGAGAACACTGTCCCAAGTCTTGAGGAATACGAACTACAGCCCAGCAACTCGAGGAATGCCCCGTGTACCACAAATCGTCTTGAGATGAGAGCTGATTCCGTGGCTTAGGCTCAAGACGTATGCCAACTTTCCAGAAGCACCTCAAGAGGAGGCTTCTCTCAGCAATACGTATGTTCGTGGGACCCCGAGTTTGCTGCCTAAACTGGAATATACAGCGAGAAGCCCTAACTTGAAAGGAGGCCGGATTTCCTTGAAGTGTCTTGTATACAGGCTCGTCTTTCATCTCACAACAGGAAAGGATGTCTGAATCCCCTGTGAAGACCTTAGAGCAAGCCCTAGGTCCCTGCCTCATTGTGACGGAATGCCTCACATCCCGTTGACACCACGAGAGGCACGCGGAGTTCACTGCTTCAAAAGGTGACGATGCCTGACTCCTCTTGAATATTGATAGGAATCCCAAAATCCCTGTGGCTATTGGAAAGGTTCCTTGGGTGCCCTGCCTCATCTTGAGAAGCGTCCCTTGTGCCCCGGCAAGCCTCGCAGAGATTCCTGAGATGTCCCTCGTTACTGGACAGGAGTCCTGACGTCACTGAATAAACACGTGTTTTGAAGGGCCATTGCCGCCGTAACTCGAGTACATACCCCAGGTCCCCGCCGCAAGTCGAGAAAAACCATGAGACTTTCCCCTAGAGGCGAGAAGAGGCCCGATTCTCCTGCAGTGCATGCAGAGCAATTCCTTGATCCCCATCAAACAAGTCAGGAGCTTCGACTTGCTTAATGCATCTCGAGACATTCCCCAAGAACACTGTCACATGTCTAGACGGACCCTGAGGTATCCCCAGCAACGCAAAGCAGCTCCATGTGCCCCAAATCAACTTGAGATGAGGTCCGATTCCCCTGCATTGACTCCAGAGCCATCTGCCGTTCCGCATTAAACACCACCAGTGGCTTGACCTCCTTCAGACAACTCCAGAGATGCCCCGAGAACACTGTCCCAAGTCTAGAGGAAAACCTCCTTTAGCACAGCAACTCGAGGAATGCTTCCTGTATGCCAAATCTTCTCGAGTTGAGAGCTGATTCCCTGGCTTAGGCTCAAGACGTATGCCAACTTTCCAGAAGCACCTCAAGAGGAGGCTTCTCTCAGCAATAGGTATGTGGGAGGGAACCCGAGTTTGCTGCCTCAAATGGAATATACAGCGAGAAGTACTAACTAGAATGGAGGCCGGTTTCCTAGCAGTGTCTTGAATTCAGGCTCGTCTTTCATCTCACAGCAGGAAGAGATGTCTGAATCCCCTGTGGAGACCTTAGAGAAAGCCCTAGGTCCCTGCCTCATTGTGACGGAATGCCTCACATCCCGTTGACACCTCGAGAGTCACGCGGAGTTCACTGCTTCAAAAGCTGACGATGCCTGACTCCTCCTGAACATTGATAGGAATCCCAAAATCACTGTACCTACAGGACAGGGTTCTTGGGTGCCCTGCCTCACCTCGAGAAGCATCCCTTTTGCCCTGCCAAGCCTCGAAGAGATTCCTGAGCTGTCCCTCGTTACTGGACAGGAGTCCTGACGTCACTGAATAAACACGAGTTTTTAAGGGCCATCCCCGCCGTAACCCGAGTACATACCCCAGGTCCCCGCCGCAAGTCAAGAAAAACCATGAGACTTTCCCCTAGTGGCGAGATGAGGCCCGATTCTCCTGCAGTGCATGCAGAGCAATTCCATGATCCCCATCAAACAAGTCAGGACCTTCGACTTGCTTAATGGATCTAGAGACAGTCCCCAAGATACTATCACATGTCTAGATGGATCCTGAGGTCACCCCATCAACGCAAAGCAGCACCATGTGCCCCACATCGACTCGAGATAATGCCCGATTCCCCTGCATTGACTCCAGAGCCATCCCCCGTTCCAGATTAAACACCACCAGTGGCTTGACTTCCTTCAGACAACTCCAGAGATGCCCTGAGAACACTGTCCCAAGTCTAGAGGAACACCATCTTCAGCACAGCAACTCGAGGAATGCTCCGTGTACCCCAAATCATCTCGAGATGAGAGCTGATTCCCTGGCTTATGCTCAAGACGTATGCCAACTTTCCAGAAGCACCTCAAGTGGAGGCTTCTCTCAGCAATAGTTATGTTGGAGGGACCCCCAGTTTGCTGCCTCAAGTGGAATATGCAACGAGAAGCCCTAACTTGAAAGGAGGCCGGGTTTCCTTGCAGTGTCTTGAATACAGGCTTGTCTTTCATCTCACAACCGGAAGGATTGTCTGAATCCCCTGTGGAGACCTTAGCGAAAGCCCTAGGTCCCTGCCTCATTTTGACGGATTGCCTCACATCCCGTTGACACCTCGGGAGGCACACGGAGTTCACTGCTTCAAATGTGACGATGCCGGACCCCTCCTGATCATTGATAGGAATCCCAAAATCACTGTGGCTACAGGAAAGGGTTCTTGTGTGCCCTGCCTCACCTCGAGAAGCATCCCTTTTGCCCTGCCAAGGCTCGAAGAGATTCCTGAGGTGTCCCTCATTACTAGGCAGGAGTCATGACGTCACTGAATAAACACGTGTTTTCAAGGGCCATGCCCGCCATAACTCGAGAACTTACCCCAGGTCCCGCCGCAACTCGAGAAAAACCATGAGACTTCCCCTTGATGCGAGATGAGGCCTGATTCCCTGCAGTCCATGCAGAGCATTCCCGTGATCCCAATCAAGCAAGTCAGCAGCTTCGAATTGCTTAATGGATCTCGAGAGAGTCCCCAGGAACACTGTCACAAGTCAAGACAGACCCTGACATCACCCCAGCAACGCAAAGCAGCTCCAAGTACCCCACATCAACACGCGTTGAGGCCCGATTCCCATGCATTGACTCCAGAACCATCCCCCGTACCCCATTAAACACCACCAGTGGCTTGACTTCCTTCAGGCAACTCGAGAGATGCCCCGAGAACACTGTCCCAAGTCTAGAGGAATACGAACTTCAGCACAGCAACTCGAGGAATGTTCCGTGTACCCCAAATCGTTTCGAGGTGAGAGCTGATTCCATGGCTTAGGCTCAAGACGTATGCCAACTTTCCAGAAGCACCTCAAGAGGAGGCTTCTCTCAGCAATAGGTATTTGGGAGGGACCCCCAGTTTGCTGC